AGGGAAAAGACTGAGCACCTTTGAAGTAAGACCGGAATGAGGTGGCTCTATGCTGCCACATGGCCACACACCAGAAAAGAAACCCTGTGGTTTTGTAAGTGCGTGCTGGGTACGGGAAACACATTAGTTCAATCTTTTGCTGAGCACGTCTCCTCTCTGCAGAAACACTGTGCACTTTGGCACTAACAGGTGATATTTCTAGACACCAACAAGAAACAGGTTAGATGACTGAAAATGGGAAAAGAACAGTCACAGGGTTTCCATCGACTCTAAACCTACAGCTGTTCATCATGACATGGTTCTCTTCATGTTTTCTTTCTCACTCGGATGTTAACTCAATGTTTCTGGGAGCCTCTGGTCATTGTGACCACCAGACAGCAGGGCTGTGGGGGAAAAAACTTTTTTTCCACTGATAAATCATTGTGTAAGTGTACTACAAAGTACCTTTCAATCATTATTGAAATCATTATTAAAAAACTCTATGATCTCCTTGTCTTTTCTGTCTTCCAATCAATCATTGATAAATGTCAAAGGTATTAATATAAAGTTTATGTACATGTAATCAATCCATCTCTGCCTGTGCTAGACAGACTTTTGTTCTTGGCTTAAAAACATCTTGTCAGGTAATTCATATGAACTATGTATAAATATTTATAAAGTGTGAGTGTAGTTCATTCAGAACATAGAGTTTTGCATCTATGCTCCGACTCTATCACTCCATCACATCACAAATGATGGGAAGTGATGAGAAAATATCTTTTACCCTCCTTTCAGTGCGTTGTGGTGCATGCTGGGTTGGTGGAGGGGCTGATTTTTACAGGCAGGAACACTGACGCAGGGCAGCAGAGGCATTGAAGGGAATGATGAGAAATCTTTGCAGCTTAAATAGTCTACCAAATTGGGAGGGTGTGTATTATGAGGGTCGTGGAGAGTGAGTGTGATTAGAGCAGCACAGCTCGAGTTCACTGCCAGAATTAGCTTGCAAGCGTTGCTACATTGAATTATTTAATTCATTGACATCAATGCTGGATATTCAACATGACTCCAGATGCAAATGAAGTACAGAGAGTTTTCATTACCGTTTGGAAGATGTACCCACTACAACTCCTGATGGTACCATGACCTGGTTGACTGAGAATCTTCACAGATTCATAAACCTTATAATGTTTAGGTCTCGATCCATCCATCCATAATCTATACTGTTTATCCTTTGACGGAGCTGGAGCCAATCCTAGCTGACATTGGGCTAGGTTCCAATCTGGAAAAGATATATACAGAGACAAACACTCATTCACATACACCTACATTGTTGGACTGTGGAAGGAAGACAGAGTACCCAGAGAAAACCCACACAGACATGGGGAAGTGATAACCACTACGCCACCATGCCGCCCTGTTGTACAGGTCTGGAGTCTTTAATTACAGCGGAAGCTGCTCGACAGCACCTTGACAGCTTCTGTAATATCTGCTCCCTCTTCCATCTCCCCCTTATCACAGGAACATGGCAGCCATGATGGAGTGACAACAGCTGATGGATTGTTCCCTGAAAAACATTTCATCCATTTAACCAAAGGCGCATAGGTCGATAGAATGAAATTACCCGTCTCCTTTTTTCTCTCTGCCTATCTCCTCTTGCTCTCAACAATTTAATTCACCCTTTTTCTCTCTCTTTTGCTCTGCTCTATCATCCTTTTGTTCTTCAGCTCTCGGTTCAAAAATCTCCAAATTGTTGCAAATGACCTGCTGCTCAAACAATCAGAAATAAAGAAAAACATTATATCCAGATGGGAGGAATACACAAAGGAAGGAAAAATCGTGTAGTAATTGGTTTGTCGTCAGAGTTGAGATATGCTCATGTAATAAGTCCACTAACACAGTCATCAGTTCTGCTGCGTCACTGGTGGAATTATTCAAGTACAAGCACAGTCACATCTGTATCTCAGGTTTGATCTACTTCTATTTAATGGCTGATTGTCGTGGGACAATAACATGAACAGACGCTACTGCGCAGACTCTGGCTCCAAATTCCATCCTTAGTATAAGATGGCAGCATTTGTATCCACAATATTTTGGCTTCATTTCTGGATATTGGGAGGAAGTGGAGTAGTGTCATCCATCTATATGTATGTATGTGTATATCATATTCAAAGAAACACACTCAGATGTGAGATGTCATGTTATAGCAGTCCCTCAAAATACCTCTCATTTTCTCTTCTGTAGTTCTATATGCTCAGATTTGAACGGTGCCATTAGAAAATCAACAAGAGTAAGTCAATGAGAGTATCTAATATGAATGGAAAGAATTAAAACATAAACTGTCACAACGGGCGTGATAAGAAACATACATATTGTTTCTTCCTATGCAAGCAGATTGCTGTAGGTTCAGTGTGTCAGCCCCTGTGTATAAAGTTTGTGTGGGCAAGGGGTGTCAATGCAGCATGTGGTTCACACTGTGTCAGGCTCTGCATGCATGTGCATGGACATATAAATTAGCTCTGTGCATATACATAGCATGTGTGGGCACGAGCATATGTGTGAGGAAGGTGAAAACGTTTCACAGTGCTCGCTTGTGTTTGTGTGTAGGTGTATACACGGCTGTATGGCTGAGGTAACTGACCATGAAGCCACTTCAGAGGAATTCATTTCCATGTGAAGGGTGTAACATGAACACCACAAGGTTGGAGTGGCCAACCCCACTCTGATGAAGTGGCTCCACCCACATCTCCAACCTAATGAAATGCTTCTCTTGCATCTTTTTTTTTTGGCTGATTAATGTCAGTAAGAAAGCACAGAAAAGAAGGCAGCAGTATAGAACTGTTGAGCTATTTGTTTAAGTACAGGAGGACACCGATAAATCAGGTGTCATTTTCACAGGTATATATTTTCTTTATTACATATTTGCAAAGTTATTAACTCTGGGCTTTGTGTTGTTTTTGGAGAAAACAAGACGTTCAAATATGCCACAGTGAGCATTAGGAAACTGAGTTGGACGTATTTTAATACATAAAATTTCATAGATGAAATGGAAAATAAATTAATCAAGAATCTTTTTAACATGCACGAGGATCTAGATACGTGTTCTCTGTTGCATAATGTCTGTTAGTGGGGAAACATGCAACAAATGAAACAAAACAATAGGGAGGGCGATGGCGAGGGAACAATTGACTGAGAGAAAGGAGGAGAGAAACCAGATAGACAGGACAGAAGAAGAGAAACCTGTGACAGGGAGCGAGGGAACCGAGCTTGGAACAAATATTTGGCTGCCAGTGTAACAGAACCAAAAATCACTTCTGTTTTAATTTCCTGCCAGTGGAAGCGAGAACAATATCAAGATTGAAACACAATTTTCAATGAGTCACTCTTATTGGGAACTTATTCATAACACTATTCCTCCATCTCTGCTCTGTGCTCCTCCAGTTTGCATGATTGCATAGGCACACACACACACACACACAAACACACACACATATGCACACACACAGACATAAAATGCAAAAAAAATGTGCTCACACAAATGCACACATGCACTCACTTCCACACAAACACGGTTAATGGCACTAATGAGACTGCATGACTAATACATCTTCAGTCTCTGCTTCAGATGAGTGCTTATTATGGTCTGTCAAGGAGATGAGTCAGTCTATGTCGTGGTTACTATGGTGATTAAAGCCTCCAGCACTTATCTTAAGAGCCCACTGGCTAAAATAAGCTCTTTAACCCCTTTAACAACACACCAATCTAGACCCAATCACGCACACGCGCACACACACACACACACACACGCACACGCACACACACACACAGGGACACTTAACCCCCTGGCCTCCCTAAGGAGAAGTGTAGATAAAATTCTCCCACAGGGATTATTAGAGAACAGCAACATTATAGATTACAATGTGAAAAACAAAGAGTAAACAGATTGGAAAGCATATTGACACTATTACGCAAAGTAATGAAGGGGGTCACATATCTTCAAACACTCAGATCACCTCTGGGTGATCATGAGCTCTTCAGGCTGTTTGCTGCCACTGATGTCATTTGTACATGTATAAAATCTGACGTATTACGATTGGATTGTTTACAGAAAATAATGTAGAAACTATGGATACACCTTTTTTTTGTTACATTGTGGGAACACGTGATCTCTGCAGCAGAACTAATGTTACGTCCTGCCTCTGTATGCTGCTCTCACCTGAACGCTCTGGAGATTTCCCTGTTGTTGTGAACACGTCTGAGCGGATGTTCTCCTGCTGTATTGTTCCTGGGTGAAACTCTGGAGAAAGTCCGGAGCCGATTCTGTGTCTGAAAGCAGCTATTCTTAGTTGTTTTTGTGAGCTTTGGAACTGGCATAACTAAAGTTACCATTAGTCAAAGTCAACTTTATTGTCAATTCTGCTATGTACAGGACATAGATGGGATTTAAGTGCAGTTTCTCTCTGATCCCTTGTGTAAACCTATAAGTAAACAGAACATATAAGTACGCAAAAACAGAAAATATACATATGCAACATATTAAGTACTCAAAACATAGTACACAGTACGACATAGTATGCAGTCATAAGGATGGATAGGATGACAGAAGTGAAAACAAGAATAGCACAAAAATGGTTTGAAAATCCTTCATGGGAAGTAATGAACTGTACATCATTGCAGTCTTTGCTTATAGAGATGGAGAGGTTAGAGATCTGTTGATGGCGGTGGTGGGGGGTGGGGGAATTAATATAATTATGAGTAAATAACAGTAGTTATATGACCAAAACGAAGTAAAAAAAACAGCATTTATATATTAAGAATATCAGTTTCAAAATAGTTAATATTTCTATTTAATTATGAATTTCTTTTAATATTGAAAAATGTCATTAAAGTGACCATAATGTTGCAGTAAACAATTAAAGGATATTCCTTTTCATTCATCACAGACGTGTAGTAGTTTGAAGCAACACCTTACGTCTCAATCATGTGCTCGCATAGCTTTTCCTTCATCTACTGCGCACGCGCAACGTCCCTCTCTCAGCTGACACGGTCACATGACACGAAGGGAACCGAAACCAAAAAGCAGAGAGACGGTGAAAACAAGATGGTTCCGTGTCCTGTGCGTCCGTGATCGCTCGGGATAGCTCACCAGCACAGTCACTGTTCATAAGCTGCTCGTAGCGAGAGGAGAGCGAGTAAACAGGTCACACGTGTTCATGAGAACAACTCAGAGACACAGACCTCCAGAGAGCGGCCTTATGTTGCGTGCACGTTAGCTAGCCAGCGAAAATATTAGCTAACTGAGCGCATGCGCGTGGTACTCCTTGTCTCGGGGGACTCCTCTTGAAGTGCGCGTCTTTGGTTAAAGTTAAGTAAAGGGCAGCCACAGTTTCCACAGGCGAGTCACAGAAACTCAACTTTGAAGTTTCCATTTGGAGACGCGGGTTTAGTTGCGCAGCTCTTTAGCTCCGTGTGTGTTAGCAGGTAAGCTAGCTGTGTGTGAGACCATGAGGCTGAGCGCGGTGCTCGTGTGTGTGTGTCTGCTCTGGGCTGAAGGCTCGCGGGGGGACACACCTGCGAACTGCACCTACGAGGAGCTGCTGGGGACCTGGGTGTTCCAGGTGTCCAGAGGAGGACACGACCGCACCGTCAACTGCTCCACTCAGGGTAAACACATCCAGGCTGCACTGAACACTGCTCTGTACTTTAGGGCGCAGGTTCTGGACAGAAGTATGGACGGTGTGCAAAGATTGAATTCCCAGTGACGCTGACAAACTAGCTGGAGCCTGAGAGATGAGGAGTAAGGCTAACACATGATAATGCTGACAAAGATAAACTGTAAAATTGATTTTAAAAGTCACTGAAACACTAAGTGCAATTCAACAAACAGTCTTAACAGTTGGATTGAATAGGATTAAAAACATGGATGCAATAAGATAATTTCTACAAATCCCACATGATCAAAAGCCAGGCTGAAGAGATGGGTTTCAATCTTGTGTTTAAAGATTTGAGCACTTCCGCTGCTCTCAGGTCCTCACGTGTTCCAGCAGCGTGGAGCATAAATGCTGAAATGTTGCTCACCAGAAGTAGTGGTGTTAGACTTTGGAGCATCTTAAAGTGTATGTATCTATGTAAACACTTGTATTCTCTGGTTTTCCTCCTCAGCTACAGGGGAGAGCGCCGTGACAGTGAACCTAGAAAAACTGTCTGTGGCCACGGACGAACTTGGGAACACTGGCTTCTTCACCATCATCTACAACCAGGGCTTTGAAGTGGTCATCAATGGCTACAAATGGTTCGCCTTCTTTAAGGTAAAAGATGAGCTACTTACATTTTGGTTTGTCATGTCTTGGCTGCTGCAGCTTACTGAAAACGCTTGCTGCAGATGACTAAAAATCGTTATGTAGGTCACAATTGTTGCACAATCACCACTTATCCTCATCGAGTCGTTGCCCAATCGATCACAAACTCAATGTCGTCAAAGTTCAATTCAGCTGTACAGACACTGACAAGTAATTGGAAATAAAAGAAGTTGAACTGCGTCGTGACATTTAAGGTTTTATTTTCACTAGCACTCATTTTTCTCTCTTCGTGCTATATGACTGTGCCCCAAGAGTAATAAGAGTACTCTTAGAAAAACTTAATATGTATACGCACTAATCAAATTTTATCTTCCACCTCATGTGTCACTTCTCCTCACTCACATGACTCTCAGTAGAGGGAGGCGTCATCGCTTATCTGTTTTTACAGTTTATCCTTGTCTAGTCTAACTTCCCCATTCATTGGACTTTATTTAGCTTCATCGAGAAATATGCTTTGTGCACTTGAGCAAAACTTATAATTCAAATATTTTTCTGGATAATGTACTGAAAATAGCTTTTACCTTTTTATATCTTGTAAATGTTTTATCGTAAAAGCTAAAGATTTGCATAAAATGACATGCATGACTCATATATTGGTCAGTCTGAGCCTTGTGCTTAAAACCTTACTACAGCAAATAATCTTTTCACAGAAGCTTCTAAGTGTCGAGATTTTCTCCTTTTTCCCAAACATTCTGCATTTATTTTTTTATCCAGCACCCATCAATTAGAATTTGTATTGTATTTGCGTATTGTTTCCATATTTTGGCTGTGACTTGCATATTAAGCCATCTAACCTGTTTCTGTCTGTACATCTTCAGTACTCTGAGGAGGGCTCTACAGTCACCAGCTACTGTGACCAGACCCTCCCAGGGTGGGTCCATGATGTCCTGGGAAACAACTGGGCTTGTTTTGTAGCAAAGAAGGTGAAACCAGTGCCACCCCGTGTAGATTACAAACCACTTTTCAGCAGCAGGTATGTATATATTAGCTTGGTACATAAATAAAATGCAAAGTAGAGAAATTTAAGCTAACAATTAAGACCAGATCATTGTTGGTAGCAGTATTATTTAATGTATTGGTTAAGTAATTTTCTCACTGGAGCTGCTATAATGTCCAAATATCTGAGTTTGAGATCTGTCTGTGAACTTTTCTTGTTTCTCATACAAAGGATTAAGATGCTCCTCATAAACATTTATTCCATTTTTCTGTTCCTTGTCCTGCTGGAAGAAGACACAATACTTGCAAGCAATGATTTGCATGGAAATATTGTTGTTGAAATTAAAATGAATTAGTCATCAACCCAGGAACAGTCAGAACTTCTCTACATCCTCACACTTCAGATTGTATCATGCTGTGTTTTCCTCACATATGATGAGCTCACAATTACCACTGAAACATTTATACTTGATAGTATTAAACGGAAGGGAACATGTTCTTCTTGTATGAAACTTTGTGAAAGTTTCATCTGTGGAAGTGATTTACCCTTGTGTTAAAATAAGTGGATTTAAAATGGCAACGCTCCCGTCGAGGCTGCTGTTGCTTGTCATCTCTTGGCTGCACTTTGGTCATTGTGGGTCTGTTTTGTCTTTTAGTCTGGAGGAAAATGACTTATATCATGTTGGCAGTTGTACTAGATAGATACAGTTTTTACGGGAACATCTGCAGCAATTGGAAACAGCCTGAAACTGCCTTATAAAGCTGTTCATGACATCAGTGTGAACAAATCGAAAATGTCTTTGGAAAGCTTTATAATCCAAGTTAACACACAGAAGTGTCTCACACTCTGAAACTGTGGTACAGATATTAATAAGGATGCATATTGATATTTGAATGAAATGTTGGTCCAGCAGAAAGGGAAGACAGTTTCATTTGGAAACATAAGGTGGGAAAACATTAACATATGACTTTGCATTATACTGTCACATACAGCACTACTATAAAAAACATGGCCGCCTCTGTAGAGAGGATCCTCTCCAGGTGTAAATATAAAGTATTTAAATATAAAGGCCTCATTCTGAAGAAAACAACAATTTGTACAATTTAAATGAAACACACTAATGAAAACATCACTATGATTATTTTATATCATATACATCTCTTTCACCTAAATCTTACACACAACCTTTAAACGGGAGTTGGAAATGATAACCTCCGACTATATAATGCAGTCCAACATAACAGCAGCACAGTAACACAAGGACACAAAAGTCCCATTAATAAAAACATTACAAGCTTCACACATTGTGTAGCAACTGTAAAGTGTTATTAAACTGTCCAGTATGTGTATTTTGTCAAGGCTGTACATGTTAAACAACCAACATCTGGAATATACTGCGTAAACTCAATAGCAATTGCTAGCAATGTGTCGAGAAAAAAATAACTCACGTGTGACATAAACCCTACAGGCTGCTCCAGAAACCTTACAAAAACAACATGGACTTCATTGATTCCATCAATTCAGTTCAGAGTTCTTGGAAGGCTGTGTCCTACTCAGAGCACGAGACGTTCACTCTTCAGGAACTGCACCGAAGAGCTGGGGGACCCGCCTCCCGTATCCCCTTGTGAGTATTTACTTGCCCTGAAGCCTCTCATGTGTCATGAAGGATTAGCTATAGAAATGTACATAAATGAGTCATTTGTGCTTCTAACAATTACAATTATTATCTACAAGAGTCATGCTGGGCTCCTTCCTGGTTATTTGGTTTGGAGCTGTGACAAAAGTGGCTTTTTTTAATACGAATAACAACTATAATATGCCCCCTCATATCTTATAATAGAATATGTGTGTCAGACTCATAGTTCACCACCAATTAGTCTGTGCAAATAAAACCGGTACTTTGACAAAGATCAAGATAAAGCTCATGAGTTAAAATAACACTAGCACTAATGGATTCTTCTTACTAATGGTGCAACTAGAGCATTTTATTTTATTAGGTTTTCTGTAAAACTATCTTTGTGCAGAATGATGTAAAATGCCCCTGTGATCATATGCAATTCTTTTTTTAATCACTCTCATTACTAGGCGTGTGCGCCCCATGCCTGTGAGCGCTGAAGTTGCCAAGATTGCTGCAGCTCTACCTGAGCACTTTGATTGGAGAAACGTTGACGGTGTAAACTTTATCAGCCCTGTGCGAAACCAAGGTAATGTTCAATCACCAACGGAAATCTTGAAACTGTATTTTACCCCCGGACACATGATAGAACCATAAATTCACAGTTTCAGAAACAGTAAGAAGAAGACCAAACCTTTCTACTCACACGTTTGTCTGTAAAGGCAGAGACTGAACAGCAGCCCGCCAGCTACTTGGCTCCCCTCCGGGCAGGCCTTGCTCTGATTTCTGCTCTGCTCCTGTGTTTCTGCACAGCCTAGTGTGTGAGGGAGAGATTATGTGTGCTGAGCAGTTTGAGTGTCTGAGAGGGCCTCTGTAGAGCTGGGTTTAAGGATCTGGAGAGAGCTGAAGTGTTTCAATAGAAGCCCCCTAAGCCACTGTACTTTCTGTTATTTTCTCCACTCTTCAGAATCAGGTGGATTTCTTTGGCACATTGGAAGGATTGGTGATAAATGGGTCTTTCCAGTGCTGAATTTAAAGGGAAGATGCAGGTGTAACTGTTTGTATCCTAGGCTGGGGGTCTTTCTGTGTGGAGTTGGCATGTTTTCCCCCTCCCACTGTCCAAAGACATGCCCAACTGGGTTTAGGTTGATTGGAAACTCTAAAGTGTCCGTACACCTGAATGTGAGTGTGAATGATTGTTTGTCTTTGGCTTTGTGGTACTTGTCCAGGAAGTACCCCACCTCTCACCCAATGTAAGCTGGGATTCGCTCCACCTCTCCCCCTGTGACCCTCAAAGGATAAGCGTATAGACAGTCCATGGATTATTTTATCCTGAATCCTCTCAGAAACTGATCACATCATATATTTTAATTATTGGGACAGCAAATGTGTCCTACTAGCACAGATCTTCCAGTTAAATTAATTGTTGTTACACCTTATTTCTCTTAATAAGGTCAGGGACCCAGATAAAAACCGAAATACGCTGCAAATCCCCACAGCATATTAGAAACACTTCATAATGTAATGCAATATAGTACAACACACAGCCTCAGAGGTTTGACTTCTCGTCAATAAATTCCAAACACAGCTTCAGTACAGTTTATTCCAACGCTGTTTTGTTGCAAAGTTGTGATTTTTGACTTCAGTGTAAATCTCTCTGTTCTCATTCAGCATCATGTGGCAGCTGCTACGCCTTCGCCTCCATGGGGATGTTAGAGGCTCGCATCCGAGTCCTCACAAACAACAGTGAGACCCCCGTCTTCAGTCCGCAGCAAGTGGTCTCCTGCTCTCAATATTCTCAAGGTAAATAACACTATCACTTCATTTGAATCATTTGATGCCAAATGCTGCAGATATGAACTGGGCAGAAGTTAGAGAATTTAAATGAGTCAGTGATGTATAAAGAAACCTCATAGCTGCCATCAGCTCTAATCATGACTTTAGAAAGTCAAGTGTTTCATGTCTGACTCACCGGATGTAGACTGTGGGTATGAGTCTACCAGTGGGCGCCTGGTTCAAATGGCATTTTTCTCCCCTTCCACTTCCAGCCTGTCACCATGTTAATAATCCAGACAACAGCCTCTCTGCTAGCGACCTACACTCTAAATATGGCATAGATATTTGAATGTAATGGTGATTCAGCTGTAAGGAAAAACAGTTTTATTTAGAAACTGGAAGTGGGTAAACTAACAAGACATGACATGTACAATACAGCACTGCTAAGGTACATGTTGTCTTTTACACAGGCAGTTAACTCAACATGAGCTCGTAAAGAAAAGTGCAAACCTTTACCTATATAATGCAGTCCAATGCAACAGCAGCAGTCAAACAAGACATTAAACACATATTTCCATCAGTAAAAATGGTACAATCTTCACAAGGTGGTTTTTATTGTCATGCTACTATATAATTTGACATCAAATATGTGTATTTTTACTCACCCAGGAGAAATGATAGTATTTGGAATATACTGTGTTTAACTTAGCAGCAATTGCTTTCAATGTGTCTTTCTGTCATCTGTTTGTTGGGCACACAATCTTCCTTTTAAAAAAAAACAACAAAAACCCTCATGTGTGACATGAACCCTGCAGGCTGCTCCAGAAACTGTACAAAAACCACCATTGATTCATCAATACGGCTCAGAGTTCCTGGAAGGCAGTTCCCTACTCAGATTCCAAATGCTGTATGATATGATATGAACTGAGCAGCAGTTTAAACATTTAAATGAGGTGACGTATGTAGAAAATGCTGAACTGCCCTCCTCCCTAATCATAGAAGGTCAAGTGTTTGCGTTCTGTGTTTAGCACAGCCCAAGACAACTGTAATTGGTTAAAGAAATGCTAACAGGCCAGCCTTTATTTATTTGTTACAGGTGTAGTCAGACCACACTCCAGTGCTGACACAACAATGTAGAGTCTGGCTATGTGAGACTTATCAGATTGAAGTGTTTCTTAACTGCCCTGATTTAGAGCATTTTCACTCCATTATTGTGAAGAGCCCTGAAGCCTCATTTACTTTTTTGGGCCTCATACTTTCTTTTCTTTTCTCTTCTTGTCCCCACTGACGCATGTTAAGCGTCTCTTGAAAGGCGCTACATACATTTAAGCTAATATTATTATTATTATAAGAGAGTTCACCCTGTAAGAACACCAGGACAACCTCTGAAAATATAACAAATCACATCTAACATTGATCTCATCTTTTGTTAGGTTGTGACGGTGGGTTCCCATACCTGATCGGGAAGTATGCGCAGGATTTCGGCATAGTGGACGAGTCATGCTTTCCGTACGTTGCAAAGGACACTCCTTGTGGCATTCCTAAAAACTGCGTCCGCGCTTACACGGCAGAGTACAGTTACGTCGGTGGGTTTTATGGCGGCTGCAGTGAGATGGCCATGATGTTGGAACTGGTCAAGAATGGACCCATGGGAGTGGCGTTTGAGGTAAAACACCTGCTCATATGCACATGTCTTCTATCAGTGGTCTGTTCTCATGAATGTGATATTTCAAACACACATTCAAATTTGACTCAAATGTTCATATCAACTGAAAAATGAACTGGTTAGATTTTGGTGGTCAGAGGTGAAGGTTGCTGTGATATCACCATAAATCAAAAGTTAATAAACTAATTGTGATGTAATTTAACCCAAATATCTAATAGGAGGAAATGAGGTGATGAAATTTCATGTCCAACATCATTTTCACTTTGACATCACAATGTTCTTGGAGAACACTTTACAGGCCTTATACTGGCCAACAACTCAGACACATGTGGAGGTCATGTTTTCACCCCTCACTCCATTCCTTGGTTGGTTGATTTGTTTGTGAACAAGATGACACAAAAACTAGTTGATTGTCCGTTTTTCAACATTGATTTGCCAAGGAATAACTCATTGATCTTGATGCATATGAAGCGGACTGCTGTCTATGTGTGTGTTCACTTTAATATAGCTTGATTGAATTTAAGAGGATCGTTGGGCCCTTTAGTTGTTTATAAAATATCTTATGTTCTTAATCCTTTACATCTCCACAGACCTTAATGCAAACTAAAAAAACTAAATGAATAAAAAGCGTAGTAAATTATGGTTTCTTCCACAGGTCTACGCTGACTTCATGAACTACAAGGAGGGCATCTATCACCACACAGGCCTCTCAGAGCGCTTCAATCCCTTCGAGCTGACCAACCACGCTGTGCTGTTGGTGGGATACGGCCGCTGCCACAAGACCGGGCAGAAGTACTGGATTGTCAAGAACAGCTGGGGCACTAGCTGGGGCGAGGACGGCTACTTCCGAATCCGCCGCGGAAGTGACGAGTGCGCCATCGAGAGCATCGCAGTCGCAGCTAAACCTATCCCCAAACTGTAGACGCAGTAAAGTCAGGATGGGAGGAGTGGGTGTCCTGAAGTGGACTCTCAGTAGCACAACTTTCTTGATCTGGTTTCAATGTGTGCTCCAGAGGTTGAAATTTTGAAGCTAAATCTTTAACTTTTTTGACATCATATGGAACGATGTCTCATTTCTCTTATCCAACAAGCAGATGTCAAGAACTAATGTGCTTAAAAACTGCTCAGCATTCAAATGAAAAATATCAAAGTGAAATAATCCTCCAAAAAACAAAAGTGGCACATTTCACAAGACAAAGTGTTTTAATATGTTCTTTTTAAAGCCTAAAGCAAGACTTTTGAGCCAGATTATTCTTAAGTCAAGTGTCACATGTTTACATGTTGACAGTGGATCCCAATGATTTTATTGTTTCTGTGTTTATTCTGGAAAGATGGTTTATGGGAATAACATGTAAAAAAAAAAAGACAAGACAAAGTTCAGTATTATGCTGTGAAAGCTTCATTTAATAAGAGTTGGAATTAGGGACACCAACACTTCTGTTTTATGGTTGATTTTTAAGTGTTGATGCATGCAGGTCACTTTTCACTATTGAACAATCGCTGATTCGCTGCCGATTAATAATTTAATTCAAGCTTTAACTGCCGATGCAGACTTGGAATCAATGCAATCAATGGATCGGTACATACTTAGTACTACATAGTGATGAATCATAAGAGGATATAACATTTCAAGGCAATTACCAAAATGTAGAGGTGGATTTTTGTGTTTGTCAGGTGCAGGACCTTGTTTGTTAGTATCAGGGAAGCTCAGGGGAGAACTGCAGTATCTTCAATTCTTGCGTCAAAAAATTGTATTTGTGGAACATTTATAAGGGATTTCATTTCAAAGGGATTCATCTGGATGTAGTGCCTTTGATTCTGCCTCTTTTTTAGCCTTGTTTGATTGAAAGCATGTGTTTTACATTGTGTTGTGAGATTTGCACTGATGGAATAAAAGAATTTCGTGAACGTTTGGTTTTTGGATGTTATTCAATATTCAATATCATTTTGTATATCGGACAATCGGTTTTCTCAATGGCAAAAACACAAAAAGGGAAATAATAAAACTCAATGTGGCGAATGAATGGTGTCCAGAAATTGTATCCGCAATGGTTCCTTTTAATGTGAGTTAATGCAACAGTTTATTTTTACATTTAAATTGATCAGGACTGGGACTTCAAGAAAAATGGTAAGTACATTATTTAAGCTTTGTTATTAGATAGTAGTAGTTATTGTTAGTGACTTTACTTGAGTATTTCCATGTAATGCCACTGTAAAATATTTTACTCTTATTTGTCTGACATGCTCATGTAGAAATTATTTTTTTTAAACTTAACCTGATCTCACAAACTATCGTTTCTATTGATGTAACCAAACAATTCATAAAATGTCTTCTTTCTTAATTCCAGACAGACTTTTGCGCACAGACTCAAACAGCTCCACTGCGTGAGTCACAAGGTCCAGAGACGTCTATGTTCCAATTCCCTGTGTGGACCAGGGCGTACCTCACCTCCCCTCCTCATTACCCACTCATACTCCACTTCCCTCTGCGCTGCCCTGTGCTTTCTGCCCCCTTTCATCCCCACCAGTCCTCTCCTCTACGGTGGATTCATGCTCAGCTCTCGCCCTCCTCGGTCGCCATGCAGAACAACCACCACAAGGAGCACCTCTATAAGATTCTTGTGATTGGGGACCTCGGGGTCGGCAAGACCAGCATCATCAAGCGGTATGTCCACCACAACTTCAGCCCCAACTACCGAGCCACCATCGGCGTGGACTTCGCCCTCAAAGTCCTCAACTGGGACCAGGAGACGGTGCGCCTTCAGCTGTGGGACATCGCAGGTACGGTCCCGACTCTTACGCACGGCTCACGTGGAAAAAGCAAGAGGGAAAACAAACATAGAAGTTGAGAAAATATGATAAGAAATGTGAAATCATCACCACAAAGTTAGTTTGTGTTATTTACTATTGTATGACTCTTACTTTAAGCACGTTTTTGAAGCCAGCCACAGCCTTGGAGAACGAGAACAAATATCCTATGTATAAGACATTTGTAGGATTTCTATTCTATTGTGATATAACATACTGGTCAAAAAGGATGGATTCCTTTTTTTGTGAAATAAGCAAAAATGGGCATCACTTTGTTAGTAAATTTAATCAAGGGACTTTGTTGAAAACCTCCTTTTAAGTCAAAATTAACTGAAGGCTACATTTTAAAATGAGTTATATTAGTGCCAAGATAATGGTCATGGTGTTAATCACGTTTGATTTCTATCACTACTGAATGAATGTTTCACAATCATACAGTGAAGTATATGAAATCTCAAAGTTTAAGTGAAAGCTTTCCCAAAAAAAAATACAACCGCTCAGATGAAAAACATACACTTTTTTATTCTTCCAGCGAAGGTAGTAAATTATTTCATGTCGGAGTGTTTGTGAGGCCTGAGAATAAAAACTCACATTAAATTCATACTTTCAAAGTCTTAGAGTGTTTGAGGTTAGAATTATAAAGAAAAGTGATCCCAAAGAAAACAGAAATGTGTTATTTATCCATGTCCATACAACCATGATAGAGCTATCTGAGGTTAATGTTCCTCATTTGTACCAGCTGACCCGTTACTCAATCCACATCATTTGGACACGCATTTCTACAATGACACGCTTCATTTCCAAATACATTCCCAAGGAAAACACAGAGAAGTCATGAAAACAGAGCTACAATCACATACTGTATAATACTGAATTCTTATATACTCTATATGTTGTTGATGATATATACAACCTATACCTAACTTTTATTAACAGACTGTATTTACAGCTTCTTTAACTCTCAATGACTCGTGCAGCACAGTAATGGAATCTGCGGATATAAAATCAAATTAATTCATGTATCAACTATTAAATCAATTACATCATTTAGTCACATAATCTGCCTTATTTCCTATGTTGACAGCCACATGACCTCATAAAAGACCACCAGGACACCACATGATATAAGAGAGTAGCCATGGCAACAGTTTGCCACGTCATTATTATTTTTAGTGTAAACCACAGTCAAAAATGACGTAACATGAATAAAAAATATCTAAATTGAGCCAGAAAGCAACACACAAATGTCACTTTACACAAATTTACACCCCAGAGTTATTCGATCACACACTCGTCTAATTATATTCAAACATACAGTTATACGCTATGTATAATATACACTAAGTATAATAAAAACAGTAATTCAGTCTTGAACCTATGTTGCCACTAGTTTCCTCCCCATCCTTGCATACTGAATAACACGGCCTTCTCCGTCTGTATGATCTGTGCGATACTCCGAGCTGTTGGGAAATGTTATGCTATTTCCTTGTTTGAATTGTAGACAGAAATGTGTGAGTGAGAAATTGTCGTGTTTTTTCTTCATGAGTAGAATTCTTTGATTGGCTTTGGGCGAGCGCAGACGTCATGGGTTAACACAGACGTTTGACTGTGATGCTGTTGGGTACGATAAAAAAGCTAAAGGCTACAGCTCTCCCGTCTCACATGAGTGTCGGCTGAGGGTTAGAAGAATTCTCTGACCCGCTGCTCTCTCCCCTCCTGTGCTCCCTTGCCAGCGAGCGCAAGCAGTCATGTGTCTCAAACTCATGTGAGGGAGATTTGAGTCCCAAGCTCTTGCGTAAAGAAAGCTTCTATTGTGATGTGAGGATGAGTGTCTCCCTCAGAGAAAACTGCTGCAGGTCTGGTACAGTACGTGCTTCCCTGAGTGGGCCTTGAAGTTATAGATGTCCTGGGGTGCTGAAAACGGAAATTGTAGTTCTGCATGATTCAGGATTAACTCTATCCACTACAGAATCATATAGAAAGAGCTTGTGCAGATTCTTTCTAACAATCAAATACCATAAAAAAATATTTACATTTGCATCTATGAGACAGAACCACAGACTGACTGTTCTCTACTGCTGTGAGTTTGTTTGGGGATTTGAGGACGGACTGAAGTTTTCTCATGTCACAGATGCAATGAATCACTCACTCCTTGAAGCATTTCCCAAGACAAATAACAACTTCAGCCTTTCTATTTTTGTTGGCCATTTTTCTGTGGCCTGTAGCGACACAATGTCAGGGGCAGCTGCTCAGGCCCGTACACGGAGACATGACTGAGTTATACTGCTGTCATTACTTTTGAAATCCCAGAGATGTGCTGTGCATGTTGTGAGCTGTGGGAGTAGTGTGGCTTCAGAACACGTAGACACAATATCAAGTGTAGATGTTTCGGCTCTTAGCTCTTAGCATATCCAACATGCACAGACAAACAAATATTCACTCTCACTCCACACCTAAGGTCATGTGGAGTCTCCAATTAACCCAACTCCAATCTGCATGTCTGTGGACTGTGGGAGGAGCACCCAGAGAAAACCCACCCAGACATGGAGAGAACATGCAAACCTGCTGTGAGGCAAGAGTACTAACCACTGCCTATGTCTCTTCCACATGGTATATTTGTCGTAATATAGAGAAATATTTCAAACTATGGCCGTTAAACATCCGTAATAATACATGTAAAAATTAACTTATCTACAAAATAACTTATACAGAAAGGTGGGAACAGTTTTTTTACTTGGTGTAAGATAATACTATACTGATATGTGTTGTAATATAATAGAGGTTCTGCCCCTGATACTGTAAGCCCTTGAACAAGACACACATCCTTCCAGCAGCCGACTCTGTGCTCTCATCCATATGTGCTGAAGAGCAGGTGAATCAGCACAGTTACATGTAGATTCATATTGACTCCTTTTACTTCAATGCAAACTGCATTTGGGAGGAATGTCTTACAAAAGGTCTTTTTATTCTGCAACTATGCAGCTGGTACTGATGGTGAAGTTATGGATGGTAAAATCCGTGAGGATACAACATTCCAACAGGGCTTATCGAATTAATTTTACCCTCAGGAATTTTTACAGAGAAAAACTTCACAGGCACACACACACACACACACACACACACACACACACACTACAGATACCTCTCTCCTCATCCCATCATGCCTCTATCTCCCTCTGGAATGTGATAAAATGAGTAAATTCAGTGACTTACAGTATGAGTTTGTGTCCGATTGCTGAAATGACACTGCATTACCTTTGTGAGTGGCATCATGCAGGTGATCTCTGTGCAACAAAATTAAAACAAAACAAACTGAACTTGCATCAATGAAGGTATGAAATTAATACAAAAATGATATGTGTGTTTGTGTCTTCCAGGTCAGGAGAGGTTTGGCAACATGACTCGTGTGTACTACCGCGAGGCCATGGGCGCCTTCATTGTGTTCGACGTCACGAGGCCCGCCTCCTTCGAGGCCGTGGCTAAATGGAAGGAGGACTTGGATTCCAAACTGACACTTGCCAATGGGAAAAATGTAGCCACTGTGCTTTTGGCTAATAAATGTGACCAGGGCCGGGACGTGCTTACAAATAACGGAATAAAGATGGAGCAGTTCTGCCAGGAGAACGGCTTTGCGGGATGGTACGAGACATCTGCCAAGGTGGGAAAGATGGGACACACACACACACACACACACACACACACACACACACACACACACACACACACACACACACAAAAGAAGTTGCTGTGAATACAATGACTGTCCTTCAACAGGAGCTCTGAGGTTCAAGCCCCCATGTCAGGAGGGCGTGTCCTTCTTGTGTAAATGTCCTTTTTGAGCAGCTGACTCCTGACCAGCTCAACTGTGTCAGACAGACCACCTGATCGCCCTCAGGAGATGCCACCACAGAGGCACATTCAGGGTGTGAAGAAATGCTTTAAAAATGCTGAGTAGAACGAGACCATTCAGTCTTAGTGCATGAATAAAGCCTCAGTTGATGGCAGTTTATGTGCTTATCAAACCCACTTGTAACTTGTATTTCAGCAGCAAATAGATCAAATGAAAACAAAATGTTAGATAACAAATAATAAACCTTTTACAAAACCTAAATGAACTGAAGGGAAGTCGCAGAAAATGCAGGACTCAGTGACACAGTCAGAAATGCAGTGTGTGACTTGTGGCTGTGAAATGAGCTGAGGATTCACCCACCTACACACTAACACACTGACACACCAGCACAAGCCCTGATTATAGCAGCTAATGCTGAGCAGGAATCTCACAGTTGGATGAGAAGAAAAGAAAAAACGAGTAAGACGTGCACATAGACACACAAGCACACACGTGTACAAACCTATGACACATTTATAAACAGCACAAAAACGCACTTCAATTTAACTACAAATGAAACAAACTGAATTTCTAGTTGTGAAACACTGTAAACTTGTGGTATAAATGAAGTTTATTAATAATGGTGCAGTATATAACATGTAGTTTTGCATACACTTTGTTTTGTTTTGCTGTTTTACACAGCAGCAATGGGGGAACCTAGAGGATATTACATTTTTTGTGATTTTATTAAGAGAAATGTTTGTGAGTTTAAGGGATGTCCTTCTAAATACCAAAGAAACAAACCGACAATCAGGTGATGGAGGCAAAGATCGATAACGGCAGCCATGAGAAATTGATGATTCAAGCAGATGAAATTGAGGCAGAAAACCAGTTCATGAATTGAGAGACACACAACCAGTCATGTGATGTTGGACAAATCATAGAATGTCACACAGCTGGAGCTGCTATGTAAAAAAGCTCTTGCTGCTCCAGTGACCTGGTGTTCACTGTTAGTGTCCAGAGCTGTCTGCTCGGAGTTTGCTTTTATGAAAACATCCCAGCAGGAAATGGGCTGCCATTTTCCAACAGCTTCAGCCTATGTGTAACTGTAATGATGAATCAATTTGATGCCGTAAATGTCACATGTACCGATAAGCCCACTGCCATGAATGCCAGATGCGTCATTTCCAACTTTTATCTAGATGTGCTCTGTGTGCAGAGAAGTGGAGCCGGCCGACTGTGGGGAGCAGATTTGTGTTTGTCGTTTTATTTTGGTGTAGCACAATCTTTCTCTCCAGATCTGTGGAGTAAGGATGACAGATCACGACACACACAGATGGTCTGTATGTGTGAGAGGTTCAGGGCTCTGCAGACTCCACCATGTCACATCCCACTGAGCACTGTTTGAGCTCTACTGCTCCTGCAGTGGATATTATAAAACTGTAATATCATGTGCACGTGCGTGTGCATGTGAGAGAGAAACACAGACACACACAGTTGTTCCAGACCTTTGTATTTCGTCTTACCTCACTTGCCCCCATACTTCCTGTCTGTATCCAATTAAGCCAAAACTTCCTCAGAATAACTTTTCACAATTGCATCAGGGAAAATTTATATTCATAGAAAAATTAAGTGCAGTGGTGCGAAAAACATTATGTATAGTTGTTCCTAATTTGCAATGTGAACGGAACAGAAAAGAATAAGCAGCATTTCAAGCATTTGCTTCTGTCTTACTTACTAAAAAGAATAATTCTGTTTTCAGTTCTGTTTATTCAAATCAGTGCCTGCAGTTTGTTGACGCAGCTTTTATTCTAAACCAACCACTCAGAAAATGCACTTTTGCTTTTATTCATTTGCTTCAGAATCATCAGTAAGATTTAGAGGCACATAATTGGAATTGGAATTTAATCTTAGGATATATTTTGCACACGTTTCTCTCATTATCCCGGAACATCTCGAGCTCCCTCCTGCCTTTGTGTAGCTCTTTGTTTCGGTACAAATATGTGGAAGCCAGTCTTTATTTGATCGTTTTCCCTGCTGGGAAAGAGGAATCAACAGGTTCATTCTTTTTATGTTTGCAAAAACCATTTAAAAAGTAAAGGTTGACTTTTGTTTTGTATTTAGGCTCTAATTCCATTCAAATGAGACTATTTTTGTTTCGACGTCTTTATATTGATCACAGCAGTGTTTTTCTCCTTTTCTTCAGAATTTAAAGCAAAGTTATAATCTGTCACTGCCTCGGCTGCAGAGACCACTGACAGCTTCATGAGGAAACTCACTCCATTTTCAGTTAGTCTTCACATCATTGCTGCTCACTGGTGCTTCATCCATCCACTCAACCTCGTAATGATCCATTTGATTCACTTTTCTGCTCCTTTACGCCGTTTCCTGCTGCACATGCTTTCATAAAAATGTTTGCATTAATCTATTCTTCCCTCTTTTTTTTTTTTTTTCTACCT